CAGCTCAAGGTGTCTTGTGCAAAAAAAAACCGAGGGTGACCTCTCTGTGACCTCCCAGCGACCGCTGGTCGAGCAACTTCCGCCTCTTCCCGCGCGGCCCCCCCGTGTCACGCCAGGTACTGCTGCATGGCCGTCTTCGCTCTGAGAGAGAAAGGGCACCATCAGCGGCGCCCTCGCACCACGCCTGCGGGTCACGGGGCGACGACAGAGACCGCAAGACCTTTGCGGGAGACTTGCGGCCGTGGGGGCGAGCGACCGATGGGGCGGGAGGCGGGACTGACCTGTCGCAGAGGTTGGGGTCAGAGGCCTGTGTGAGTTTGTGGAGGATGTCGACGATCCCCATCTCCCGGAGCTTGTCCTGGCGCTCTTGAGAGCCTGGAGGCGGGGGAGAGAGTGTGACAAACAGGTCGATTGACAATTCAGGGCAAGAGCAAGAGCAGGGAACGCGCTAGGATCAATCCTGGAGGAGGAAGACTACACCACTGAACAGAAAGAATAGTCTGCCATCAACTCCCAAATCGCAGCCCTCTCGCCGTGTCTGCACACATGCTGAGGGGCAGAGGACTCGCATGAGGAGGAGGAGGAGGAGGAAGGGAGTGAGAAAGGTGACAGAGGAGTTAAACAGGGTTTGGCCCCTTCTGAGCTGTTTGCACCCCCCACCCCCTGCGCAGAACTCACCATCCTCCTCGTTCCAGATGAGGTTGGAGATGCAGAAGGTGGCAGCAAGTTGAAGTTTCACATTCGAGTGCCCCTGACAAAGAGAGAGAGAGAGAGAGAGTCAGGGTGGGACACACAGGGCGACCTTACTCCCGGCCCCACCAATCCCCTCCATTGCACAGCTCTGCTACAACCAGCACCCTACTGGCTCAATAATCATGCAGGATTAACGTAGCAATGGAAAAAGCTGGCTGTAACAAAAAGGCCACCCTGTCGCTCGCAGGCGTGTGGAACAAAATTCAGACTTGTACACGCCTGCGTGAACACACACACGCACTCGTCCAGTACCATGTAGTATTTGATTTTCTGCAGGATGTCGTCATTGGTCATGATGAGCTCCTTGGCCGTGTTTCCATCTGCTATGTTGGCCAGGATGCACAGCGTCTGAGAAACATGATGGATACGCAATCACTTTACTTTAATTATAAAAGACTTAAGAAATAAGCATGTAAGACTCTCGATTGTATAGCAATCCCAAAACAGCAGGCTCCTGTGTGCATGCAGGACAAGGCAGTTCTAGTTTGTTCCTTTATTCGGAAGCAAATTTGCAGAGAATTGTAAAATTAAATGCACGCACACATATTTACTCCTCCGTTTCATCAACTTGCACAAGAATGGACACCTCAGCTTGCAAAACCTGGGATGCATACAAGGTGTGATTTCTGGGGGCTCCATCTCACCTGCTCCTTGACCTCGAC